ACCAACCAAAAATTATGCAGATTATCATCATCACCGATATAAGGTACACGAAAAACTGAATGAGATAAACGCAGTAAACTAAGCTTTGAATCATTAAGTATGAAACTTTTATTGTGTTCAGTGTCTTATTAAAGAATTTCTTAGTTTTATGCTGTTTTTACAAAAAAATTTTCTATTAAAAATTGTAAAAGTAAAATTTTTCATTTTCAGGTCTGGTACAATAACGATATGTCTGCAGGAAGTGAATACCATTTATGCCTGTCTCCAGAAGATGATGCCTGCAGTGATTCTAATCCTGTAGACTATTCAATTGATGACCACCAGCACTATTTCAATGTTAAAGTATATGGAGAAGCCAAATAAACGCCAGAAATTTCCTAGAGCGAACTAAGCGTCGCTTTATCAACTTCTTCAGTCGAAGAGTGTTCAGCTTAAAAGCTGCAAAAAGTACTGCAAGAATCAAAAGTAGTATTTATTTGCTTCTTTTGACTGGTTTTTTTTGCATACTTGTGGATATACTAAAGAGGTTATTCCACAGCTGACTTAGCGTTTTATTGGCGGCTCTGAACTGCTTTGCTTTGTCTGAATAAATTGTCGTCGGTAAGCTTCTTAATGATGTACACCTCCTGAAACAATTCAAAAAGCTTGTAGCGGTTATATCACGGACCACTTCAAGATGAATGCTACGTGTTACCAAACAAGTAAATTTGCAGACCGGTCGTTTCATCATTCCTTTTCATCTTCTTCTCGTTTGACTAAAAGTTGTGCAAAATAATCTGAGCCGGTTATTTAAATTGGTCTATATTGCTTACCTTTTTTTTTTGTTAGAAATGGAGGCATATTGGATAATCCGTAAAGTTTTTCTTGATATTTTCTACAAGTTACGCATCGATTAAAATACCTTTTTTTGTCTCACGTCTTTCTGCAATCTACCGCCTCTGTCTTACCCAGTTTAACGTGGCTTAAAGTCCCATATGCATCGTTTGCAAATGAGCTTCATTTATAATCAAACAAGCCAGTTTTCCTTGATGAATAAATAGAACTGAATATTTTGTTTCTAGCGGCATTGGTAAATTTTTGTATCGACCTAAACAACTCAGTAATCCGTCGTCTTCGTCCTTTTTTATCGCCTAATTGATTCTTCAGCTCTTTTTAGTACTTTTATTCATAGCATAAATTGTTCGCCAAAAATCCTTTGCTGCTTTATTTGAACTAAGAAATTTTCTGCGCTCTGTTATTCCTTCGCATTTATATAACCGCCTTCTCTTATACTGTTAAAAATTAAAGATATCACAAGGAACATCTCTTTCAGAGTATCCAAGAGTTTGATCTATATTTATCGTTTTAGAAACCGTAGTACATATAGCACTAGAAGTCTTAAAGGTTTGAACCAACTAGAATAATCTGAAACATTAATCAAGGAGTTTCATTTGTGATATTTAACGTTTCAAATGGCTCTTCTTGCCACTTTTCTTCTTTTTTCGGATTCTGGCATTACATTTGGTTATGCCACAATTTCTCGAACAGATGTAGCCAATCAGGTTTTTTTATCAGCCGTGATCTCAATCAGTTCTTGCACTGTATAACCTCTATTTGCTAAATCCGCTGCGTTATCTTTCGATGGAACATAACGAATTTTAACACCCTGAGCTTGCTTAATCTCTTTTAATCTATTTATGACAAAGACTGATAATTTTTTTGAAGTTTTCCAGCCAACAAAGAAAACATTTTGATTCTGACCAAAGTATATTACGTGGGATCTGTAGATGTAATTCTTTATCAGCGTATTGTATTGCGCGTGTTCCAATTGACATGGCTAAAAGGTCGAGTATAGAAAGTATAGAAAAAGTATAAAAAATAGTGAGTATAGAAATACCCTTCACCAGTGCTATCCGGTTTTTACCAAATATAAGCTCTGTTCAATACCCGTCTTCAATCTTGCTTTTTAAATAGGTTACTGCTGCTTACGAACGCTCTGATACATCTACAAAAGTGTGTAATTCCCAAGCTCTATCTTGTTTTCTGTCCGTTATTACCCTAAGTACACTCATTTTTTCTTTTGTATTCTACGCCGGCTGTATGTTGCATTCGTTCCTGATTTCATCTGATAGTTCCTGACCCTAGGTTACTGACTTTCTTCATAACTTTTGGGCTAATAACCTGGCTTTCAAATTGTCTCAAGCAGCCAGACCCAAAAGATTGTAATTTGGGGCCAGCTTTGATAAAATTATCCGTTTTTTTTATTTTGACCTGATAGGGTACGAAATTTTAATAATATA